GGGGGGGGGGTAAAAACAAATGAGAGCTGATAACGAGAAAAACTAAAAGACATACAACATAATGCATAATAATAAATAGATACAATAATGATGCTGGGGCATCAAGAAATAGTAAAATTATGTTTAAAAATCTCTTTTAAGGAAATCAGGTAATACAGGGAATTAATTACCTTAAAAAATTTCCAAATGCTTCACCCCCAGTTGTGTTCCAAAATGATAATAACAGATTGATGACTGTCTTAAAGGCTGACACAACTGATACATGGGAAAACGTTTAAATTCTCTGTGAGGTCTCTTTTACTCTGGCTCATTCTAATGAACATTTCTTGACTTATGTAGGCAGTGACATTTCTTTTGTGTGTAAAACAACAGAAGAGGTCATGGGATTTCGTAGGTGTGTAAATTAAATGTCAGTATGTGCCCTACATGGGATTTAAAAAGGGGTTAGACAACACCTTCAGCTGCCCCTGCTCCACGGAGGTTAGTGGTTCTCCCCGGTCACTGATGTCTAAGACTTTGGACAGTTGATGATTTTCTTACCAGGACAAAAGGCATAATAAGTAATTGTTTAAGTAAGCATTTTATCAGGCAAGAAGTAAAAAGTGTGTGGAACAGTTTAACAATCCCTGTATCCTAGTGTCTTACAATTTCCACCTGTTTGCAGTTTTAAAAAATCACAGCATAAGGCAAGCATCTCAAATTTCAGCAAACCTTAAAATAACAATTCAGGGTTCATTCAAGTGTTAAAATATTTTACAATACTGGCACAAAATGGTTGGTTTTGCATTTAAATCTTGGTATTTCTTTAAAATTGGAAAATAAGTGATAATAAGTTATCAATACCTATTAGATAAATGAGCTATCAAAATACTAAGTGTAGTTTATTATCATATGAGTTTTGAAATTTTACAGCAGAAAAGAATGCTTTCCAACTAAGTTTCTGGGAAAGTCTTATCAACCATGTGTTATTGCTGTCATCTAACAACTTATTACTTAACTGTGAGTTAAGGAAAATGTTCTAAAAGTGAATATACTTCACAAATTATATAAAAATGATTATATAATACCATAAAATTACCTGTTTTGGATCTGATTTCCTGTGAATTTTATGTATTTTGTTTTTTCCATCAGTTTGGTGATTAGTGTATCTATGATCACTTTCTGATTCTGAAAAGCTTCTTCTATAAATTGATATCTGAAGAAATAAGCAAATTATTTCATATAAAAACATATGAGGAAAAGTCCAAGAATAAAAAGACTGATAAAAACATAAAATAGGATTATAAAGAATTTATATAACAATCTTGTAAAACATCAAATGTATCCCTAATAAAGCAAGTTTTCCCCACCTCTCAAATTATCCTTCAAGAAAGATTATGGACACGTAAATATTTTGAAAGTTTGAGAACCACATGCATCCATCATTCAGTTTTATAAGTTTACAGAGTTCACTTCCACTTGGTGGACTTGGCAAAAAATAGTCAATGATATATAATCTGACTTATTAACTATATTGTAATTTCTACATTATGCAAGCCTGCTGAAAACAAACATTTCAAAAGACCACTTTTAAATAATAGGTAGTTATGTTCTAGGGGCCACAAAGAAAAATCAGGATAAATACAGAGAGAGAAGGGCAAAATTCTAGATGTTATGCCTTGTGATAAAACTTTAAGCAACAGTATAATAAGATATAGCACTTTAAAAAGTTTCCAATTTGAAAGTGAGGAAAGATCATTTACTTTGCCAGACTATGTTTGATAACTGAAGAGAAGTTCTAGAGAAGATAGAAAGGCAATGATATAGAAGATACATATCAAGAGTTTAAGTTTTCCTATAAAATGTACAAAATACAATATTTCTAAATTAACATATTTTATATAATGTGATTTTAAATGTTTACATGTAATTAAATAGGGTTGCCAGTTAGAAAAAGGGGATACCCAGTTAATAATTACATTGGATTTCCTTTGTACATAATCATATCTGTGAATAATAACATTTCAAACACTTTCATAGGCAACTCAAGTTTTTTTTATCTTAGTAAACTTTTTCTTTACTACACTTACTTAATATAAGGTTACATGAAATGGTCAAAATGGTCACCCTTATGTTGTTCCTCATCTCAATGCAAAGACTTTCAATATTCCAATATTAAGTACGTTTTCTACTTTCTTTATCAGGCTTAGGAAATTCTTTTTTTATTTCTAGTTTGCTAAGATGTTATGAATGTATATTTAATTTTTATGGAATGTTTCTACTGCTTCTATTGAGATAGGCATATACTTTTTCCTTTATTCTTTTAATATGACATGAAAGGTTTCAGCATCAATGATTTTGGCGTGTTAAATGAATTCTGTATCCCCAAAATGAGGCCAAATTGGTTGTGATTACACTGTCCAAAGATGACAATACTACGAGATTTAAGGCAAGTTTTCCCCTCCTCTCAAATCATCTGTTTTCTACTTATTTTCCATTTCTTGGAATTTTTACATTCATTTCATGGGTGAAACTGGCCTGTAATTTTTCATTTCTATTCCTTGTCAGTTTTGGTGTAAAAGTTATGCTGGCTTCATATAACAAGTTGGAAAGAATTCATTTTTTTTTTGCCATTCTCCGGACAAGTCTGTATAAGAAAGGGTTTTGTTTTTTTTTTTTTTTTTGAGACGGAGTCTCGCTCTGTAGCCCAGGCTGGAGTGCAATGGCGCAATCTTGGCTCACTGCAAGCTCCGCCTCCCAGGTTCATTTGCCTGCCTCAGCCTCCCGAGTAGCTGGGACAACAGGCGCCTGCCACTATGCCTGGCTAATTTTTTGTATTTTTAGTAAAGACGGGGTTTCACCATGTTAGCCAGGATGGTCTCGATCTCCTTACCTTGTGATCTGCCCGCCTTGGCCTCCCAAAGTGCTGGGATTACAGGTGTGAGCCACCGCGCCAGGCAAAAAGGGGCTATTTTTACCTTAACTATGTGGTACATTTATCGGTGTCATTTGCGTGCGTAATTTTCTTTGTGGGAAGGTTTTAAATTATGAATGAACATTAAAGGACTATTCTTTCTATTGTATTTAGCATAAGTTTTGGTAAAAACTTCATTTTCTAAGAGTTTTCCAATATCATGTAAAAATTTTCATTATAACATTTGAAATATGGAGTAACACCACCTTCCTACTCCTGGTAGTGGTTATTTGGGCCTGCTCTCTCAATCACTCATACAGAGAATTGTTGATTATTTAGTAGTCTTTTGAAAGACTGAATTTTTGGCTTTGACTATTTCTACACTTGTCTTTATTATGTTTCTTTTAAAACACACTTACTTTGGGTTTAATCTGCTACTTTTCCTAAACTGCAATAAATGTTTAGTGAATTGACTTTATCCTTAACATACAACATATGCATTTAATAATATAAACTGTCCTCCAAATATGGCTTCAGTTATTAAAAAGAAAAACCTCAAGGCTTGATTGACTGATATTTTCACTACCATTCAAATCAAAATGTTTTCTAGTATCTACTGGAATTCCTTGTTGATGATTTAAATGTATTAAACTGCTTATTTTATAATAATTTCAAAGTTAAATTTCCAAGCATATAGAGATCATATATCTCCTTATACAGATTAATCAATTTTTTAGTTTGCCTCCTCATAGCTCTTTAACCCTTTAATAAATTAAGTGTGCATTTCCTAAAAACAAGGATTTTCTTATGTATTCATAGCAAAATTAAAAAAAAAACAAACAACTGACCTTGTTACAGTACTTTAACCTATAGACCATGCTTCTTAATTGGATCATTTGACTCAGTAATGTCTTCTAAATACTTTTTTCCTTTAAACCAGAATTCCAGGATCGTGTATCAGCAGACTTTAGTTATCACAAGAATTTCATTTCCAAATATATAGTATCTTTCAATCTTTTCAAATTTAAGACTTTAGCATATGGTCAGTTAAAAATATTTTATTGTAAGAATGTATATTTTGGGGTACAGTGTTCCATAATGTCCATAAGATGTTAATTGTGTTATTCAATCTTATTTATCTTTTTTTTTTTTTTGAGATGGAGTTTTGCTTTTGTCACCTAGGCCAGGGTGCAATGGTGCCATCTCTGCTAACTGCAACCTCCACCTCCCAGGTTCCAGCAATTATCCTGCCTAAGCCGCCCGAGTAGCTGGGATTACAGGTGTAAACCACCGTGCCCAGCCCTTATTTCTCTATCTTTACTGATTTTTTAGTCTGCTTGTTTTGTCAGTTATGTATGTGTGTATTTATTTGTGCGAGCCACCATGCTTGGCCCTTATTTCTCTATCTTTACCGATTTTTTAGTCTGCTTATTGTGTTATTTATTTACTTATTTATTTTTTAGAGATAGGTCTTGCTATGTTGCCCAGGCTGAACTCAAACTCCTGGACTTCAGGCATCCTCCCACCTCAGTTTCCTGAGTAGCTAGGTAGCTAGCACTTACAGGTACCTGCCACACTACTCGGCTTCAATTATTGCGTAAAGTGGTAAGATTTTCCACTGTGACTATGGAGTTTTCTATTAGTTTGAAGTTCTGTCATTTTTTTGTAAGTTTATAACCTGTATAAATTTACAACTCATATCTTTCAGATGAAGAGAGCCTTTCATCCTTACAAAGTGTCCCTCTTTATCTCAAATAATGGATTTTGTCTACTATGCCATTCTGCCTCTGGTTAGTATTTATATGGTGTGTCTTTTCCCATTAAGTCTTTTATATATTGAGTTTTTAGATATTTCTCATAAAAAGAAAATAGCACATTTTTCTATTTTCCTTGTTATCCAGTCCGAAACCTGTCTTATAATTTGGAACATTTTGTCTGTTCACATTTAGTATATAGTATATTTGTAGATCTACCAACTTACCAAGGCCTCATTATATTCCATCTGTTCTTTATTTCTTTTTCTCACTTTTTTGGCCTTTGTTTATACGGATTATTCCACATCCCCACAACTCTCCACACCTTGGTAATTATATGTACTTATTATTCTTTTAGTGACTACTCTAGACATTACAAAAACAGATATTTACATATCATCTAATATTTGCACTTTTTACCCTCTTCCTAGACTATGCACGCACCTTAGAACATAAATTCCATACGCTTTTAGCACATTTACTGCTATGTGATATACATATACACATACCACACCAAAAAGATACTGTTTCCTAAGTCAACATTCATTTAGATTTACTCATACCTATTATTTTAATTGCTCCATATTCCTTTCTGTATCTTCTATTATTTTTCTTCTGCTAAGAGGTACTTTAAGTGAGAGTTTATCAGGGATATGCTCTCCCAGTGTATTTTGCCTGAAACATTTTTCATCCACCTTCATATTTAAAGAATATGCTTACTAGGTACAGAATTTTAGATTTGAAAGTTACTTTATTTTTGCACTTTAAAAATATTACTTTCTTAATTATCCTGCTAGAGGTTTGTGCAACTTCTTAAATATAGGCTAAATGCCTTTCGTCAGCTTCTGAAAGTTCTCAGCCATTACATTCTGTCTTCGGATATTGCTTCCTTCCCATTCTCTGTACTTTCCATCCTTCTTGGACTGCAATTACATCCATATTAGATCTTCAATGTCTTCTACTTTTCATCCTCCTCTTGTTGATGATGCTTCTTTCTGGATATTTTCTTAATTTTCTTCTAGCTCATTAATTCTCATTTCATGCTATGCCAAATCTGTTCTTAAGCCCTTCTACTGAGTTAATTTCAGATACTGTAATTTTCAGGGTTTTCTTTCTTTCTTTCTTTCTTTCTTTTTTAAAGACAGGGTCTCATCCTTTCACTTAGGCTGGAGTGCAGTGGCACTATCACTGCAGCCTTGAACTCCTGGACTCAGGCAATCCCAGGAGCTCAGGTGGGAGCACATCAGTCTCTCAAGTAGCTAGGAATACAAGCACACACCACTGTGCCCAGCAAATGTTTTGTCGGGATGGGGTCTCACTATGTTCACATTGTCTAATCTCCTAACAAACCTGGTTATTTCTAATTCTGTGAATATCGTTTTTCCAAAATTCATTATTGACTAAGTTGGAGGCCTAGATGTCTTCTTTGTCTTTCTGGCAAGGATTTAACATTTGATTCTACCAGGAAACTTCAGGAGCCAGCGATATGACTTCATTTTAATCCAATTTTAAGTGCTCAGCTTTAGTCCCTGTGAGGAACTACTTACTAATTTATCTTTACTGTAATAGTGTAGACTTTCAGGGTATGAACTCAAGACAAGGAGACACATTGACCATGCATGATCCTTGCACTCCAGGCCGTGATTTCTCAGCTCTGTGAGCCTATTAAAATTACTCCTCATCTCTAGGCAAATACCTCAAGGGGAGTAAAAGGCCCCCGCCATCCTTAGCCCCAGCTCCAACCCAATCTTGTCCAATAATGCTTTACTATTTTATTAGCTCTAGCATTTCATATAGATAATTTCTGTATTTTGTGCAGGTTTTCTAGTCATTCTCACTGTTGGTCCAAATTATCCAGTCTGCCAGTATCAGGAGCCTAGACCATCATAAGCAATTATATTTTGTATCAATTTGAATCTTACTGTCTAAATCATCTGTTGCTGACCTGAATGACTGTTGAGATTAGGTTTAAAAGTAAGCTTTGCTATGAACTATAATGAACTGGAAAAGGCATGCCTCAAATGTTGACATGAATGTATACAGACCCAGGGCTAGAAGAGCTTCCATTTTCTCAAAAAAGCCAAAAATCTAGATATTTTAAAAATGTAAAATCTCCCCATTTTACAATGCTGGCAACTAGTTCTATATATTTTTAAACAGTGTGTTGGCCAGTGTTCTCAATTCAGGATGATTTTGCTCCATAGGACGTTGCCAATGTCTGGAGCCACATTTTGTTGTCACAACTGGGGAGGGTTAGAGGGTTGCTACTGGCAACTAGTTGATAGAGGTCAAGGATGCTAACCACCATATAACACACAGATCAGTCCCCAACAATAAAGAATTACCTGGCCCAAAATGTCAGTAGTGTCAAAATTGATAAACCCTGGTATAGGCCAGCATACTGCTGGTTACACAAAACCTATTTGCAGACTGCCATTTGATGAGGGTTGGCAGCAGTCCTTTAGTCCTCTAAAGCTGCATATGAATCTATATACAAAACCAAAGATGCTGGTACCTATGTTCTTTATGCTCTAATAACTGACAGTCTCGACATGTCAGTTTGTCACATGTCTCACAGTACAGCTTCAACTGCTCCTTTTTATGAAAAGGACAAAACACCGGTCGCTGGCTGGTGACACCAACTGCCTCTGCAGAAACAATGGGAGACAAAGAGAAGAAAATGAACATAATTGAATAGTAAATAATTATTCGATGGCCCATTTGAATTCACATCTATTGATATAAACACTACAGCTTCACCTATACCATAACTTTCACTAAGAATTACAGATATTAAGATATCACATATTGTCAGCATTTCAGGAAAAAAAGCAAATAACCTTTTCATTTTCCAGGAAGAAATTAAAATTAATTCAGAAGTAAATGAAAGAACTAAGTGTGTAGTTAAAAATATGTTTTATTGCATTAAAAAGCCTTAAGAAGACAGCCCTGGTAAATGAGTATGAATCACCTGGATGTCTTCTATCCCAAATATGGGAGGAGATTTTTTGAAAATGCAATTTGGAAAATCCAGCAGGGCACAGTGGCCCACGCCTGTAGTCTCAGCTATTCAGGAAGCTGAGTTGACAGGATCAGTTGCTTGAGCACCAAGAGTTTGAGTCCAGCCTGGGAACATTGTGAGACCTCATAGACAGAGACAGAGAGGCAGAGAAAGAGATGGAAAGAGAGAGAGGGAGAAAGAAAATATAATAAAAATGTCCAAAAGGAGTAGTCAAATAACCTACTTTTGTAAAAATCCTAACAGACGATACGCATTAACACAGAAATAATAATATTTTTATTATTACACTCTAGTTTTCCAGTGTGGGGATAAAACTGGAAAATGTTTATGTCATGTTAAGTGAAAAAAATCAGAATATGAATAAATATGGTTAAATAGTAAACCTCAGTTATCTTACTAATAATTAAAGGCAAAATCCAAACATTTCAGAAATAATCCTACCTCCAGAGATTATTACTATTAATAACCTGGTGTGCATTCCTCTGGTTGTTTTTCTAAGTATGGAAGTACATATAGTATAGTGCAGTGTTACATTTTATAAAACAATAAATGGCAGTACATATATTGTCTTTTAAAGATTTTTTTTTCTCACTTAACTCTACCTTAGATGCCTTTCTGTATTAGTATATATATCTACCTCATTTCTTATTTGTTAACTGTATAGTATTTCACGAAATAGATAAACCACTATACCGCTTGCTAAGGATATTTGTAAGTTATTCATTTTTCAGTACTGCAAATAATGCTGAAATAAACATATGAAAATTATAAATCATTTAAATGTTTCCATAAGATAAATTCCTAGTGGTAGAATTGTTAAAGGGTAATTCATACAGAGAAAAGCTAAATAATTGTGCCAACTTGTACTCCAACCAGTGTAGAGTGGCTATTAACCATATTAACAGGGGGAACTCTCAAAATTTTTCATCTTTGACAATTTAATAAATGTAAGAGACAGAAAGAGAGAAAGAGAGAAGACACATACGTCACTATCCTAGAATGCATTTCTTTAATAACTGAAATGAAACAATGTTCAGTAATTAGCCATTTGCATTTCTTTTTTTTTTAATAATGCACAAATCAGTCCCCAGCAATAAAGAATTATCTAGCTCAAAATGTCAATAGTGTCAAAACTGACAAACTAGTATGCTGGCCTATACCAGGCATGGTGGCTCACATCTGTAATCCCAGCACTCTGGGAGCCCAAGGCGGGTGGATCACTTGAGGTCAGGAGTTCCAGACTAGCCTGGCCAACATGGTGAAACCCCATCTCTATTAAAAATACAAAAATTAGACAGGCATGGTGGCACAGAGATTACATAATCCCAGGCACTTGGGAGGCTGAAGCAGGAGAATTGCTTGAACCCGGGAGGTGGAGCTTGCAGTGAACCGAGATCGCATCACTGCACTCCAGCCTGGGTCATGGAGTGAGATTCTGTCTCAAGAAACAAAACAAAACAAAACACACACGCAAAAACCCTAAGGTAACCTGAGAGGAATTACAGATAAAATTAATGAACTAAAACATATAAAACTGATAATTAGATAAATAAATTCAAGAAGTATTTCTGAAGATACAAATATGTAAACACGTAGAATTCAGACTGAAAATGAAAATAACCAGATAGAGAAAATCGGTAATATATTATATTAAAAGCACAACACATCAAGATGAAATATGGAATTAACTCCAGCAATGCAATTCTTTTTTTTTTTTTTTTTTTTTTTTTTGAGACAGGACCTCACACTGTCGTGCAAGCGGAGTGTAATGGCAGTGATCACAGGTCACTGCAGCCTCGAGCTCCTTGGTTCAAGCGGTCCTCCCACCATCTCATCTCCCAGGTTGTTGGGATTACAGGCATGCACTATTACGCCCAGCTAATTTTCTTTTCTTTGTAGATAGGGTTTTGCCATGTTGCCAAGGCTGGTCTAGAACTCCTGGGCTCAGGCAATCATCCTACTTCGGCCTCCCAAAGTGCTGGGATTATACCAAGTCTTTCACTAGTCTCAAACAACAAACACACAAAAAAAGGTTTTGCTACATTTTGATACACGCTATTACATGGATGAATCCTTAAAATATTACGCTAAGTAAAATAAGTTAAATATCAAAGAACAAATACCATGTGATTCCACTTGTGTGAAATATCCAGAATCAGCAAATTTACAGAGACAGAAAATAAAGGCTGGGTGTAGTGGCTCATGTTTGTAATCCCAGTAGTTTGGGAGGCCAAGGCTGGCGGATCACTTGAGGTCAGGAGCTCGAGACCAGCCTGGCCAACATGGTAAAACCCCGTGTCTACTAAAAATACAAAAATTAGCCACACATGGTGGCGCACACCTGTAATCCCAGTTACAGGCAGGAGAATAGCATGAACCCAGGTAGCAGAGGTTGCAGTGAACTGAGAACGCGCCACTGCGCTACAGCTAGCCTGCGTGACAAAGCAAGACTCAGTCTCACAAAAAAGAAAATAGGTTTGAAGTTACCAGGAGCTAAGGGAAGAAAAACGGAGTTATTATTATTATTGTTTTTCTTTTGACACGGAGTCTTGCTCTGTCGCCCAGGCTGGAGTGCAGTGGCGCGATCTGACTGCAAGCTCCACCTCCCAGGTTCATGCCATTCTCCAGCCTCAGCCTCCCGAGTAGCTGGGACTACAATCGCCCACCACTATGGCTGGCTAATGTTTTTGTACGTTTTTAGTAGAGATGGGGTTTCACTGTGTTAGCTAGGATGGTCTCGATCTCCTGATCTCGTGATCCACCCGCCTCAGCCTCCCAAAGTGCTGGGATTACAGGCATGAGCCACTGTGTCCAGCCAGAAAATTGGAGTTATTACTTAAAGGGTACAAAGATGCTGATTGGGGTGATAAACAAGTTTTGAAAATAGTAGTGATGCTTGCACAACACGTAAATGTAATAAATGCCACTGAATTGTACATTTAATAGTTAAAATGACAAATTTTATGTTGCATGTATTTTACCAAATAAAAAATATATGAGTGAACTGTACATTAAAAACAAGACAATAAAACCAGAAATAATAATTACATAAAAAAGCCTCTCTGGCTATCCACATATCAGACAAATAATCATGATGCAGGTTTACAACAAGAATATCAAAAGGAAAAGAGTTATAAAATATTTAAGCCCGCTCTTTGTTGTTACCTTAGAGATAAAAGAAAAATAAGAAAAAGCATTTTTTTCCTCCATTTGTTCTATATTCACACCAGTTGAAGACATTTATAGAAGCAGGAGGACATGCAGTATGAATGTAAAACAGGGTTCTACATCTATTCACATTTTCCAACATTTTTAAGTATTTAAATTTCAATTATAATATAAACCTCTTTTACTTAAGAGTATATATTTAATACTTATCAAAATAAAACTGTCAAAACAAGTCAATACAGGAAGGAAGAAAAGACAGGGAAAGATAGAAGAAAAAAAAAGAAAATAACTCATGTATTACCTGGAGATACTTCCTCTTTCTGTCTGACAGTATGGTCTTTTGTGAACTTTACCCTCTGATGAGCTCTGATACACGTCTTGCAGAGCCATTCAACACACTCTACACAAAACCCATTAGCTTCTGCGTTGTCCTCACAGCTTGTACACACCTGACAATAAAAGAACCATGACACATGAATTTTTGAGAAAATGAAAAGCTGGTCCTATCACGAGCTATATATACATGATACACTAACCATATCGGGCTAAATCAGTTAGCCTCCTAATGGTGTTGGGAAATTTTAAACTGACATTGTGTGTTACATTATACACATATGAAATGAAAATACTGTGCGGAGACAAGAATATAAGTACATTTTCTCCTTAATTCAGCATCCCAAATATTTCAACTAGGTATTTCCCAAACATTATGCTAGGTGTGAGAACAGAACAGTCAGGAAAAGCAAACGTGGTCCCTGCCCATATGATAACTACAGTCTTGTAAATACTGCAGGTTCAAATCCCAGTTCCCTCACTTACTAGCTCAGTGGTCTTGGGCAGGTTACATAGAATACTCATCTTTAATATGAGGGTAATGATACAGATATTACTGAGTAGTTGTGAAGATTAAATGTGAGGCAGATGCACATTATTAGAATAAGCATATCAATATATAACTACAAACTGAGAATTATCATAAAGGAAATATACAGAAAGTTGTAAGAACGTATGATGAAGAAATGGATCTCATTTTAGTGGGGTTGGAAGGCTAGGGAAAGCATGAAGAGGGATTACCCAGTGAAGGCTTTTACTTCTAGGAAGAGAGAACAGCATGTAGAAAAAGTCCCAGGCAAGAAGAGCAAGCAGGTTCAAAGAACTGAACGAAGGCAAGTATGACTGAAGTGGTGCGACTGAGGGGTGCGACCTGCGGGGAAGACTGGCAAGAGAAGCTAGGACGAGAGACAGGGGCCAGATTAAGTGGAGTCACGAGACAATTTTGGTGTTTATCCAAATAAGTCTATTAAAAGCTTTTAAGAAAGTGACATGGCCAGATTTGAATTTTTATGTCACAATGGCTACAATATAGAGAACAAATTACAAAAGGAGCAAAAGCGTTTCTGTATAATGACAAGCTAGGAGGATTTTTCAGTGGCTTTGGTGAGGGTTGCTAGAAGTGCGATGTGGAGATGAGAACAGGTTTGACAGCAAAAATTTTTTCCACTTCACTCAGTGGTTGACACTAACCAAATTCCAAATACCTGATAGGTCCATAAACCAAAATCTACCTTTTCTCTGGTCTTATCATCTTCAATCTTTCTAACATTACTTGATACCACTGACTCCTGCTTCCTAGAAATCATGTGAATTCCTTAATACCTGCCAATCCTCCTATCAGATAGCCTGACTGTCACTGTGGATCCCACCCTTCTTCCTCTGATTCTGTAGTTTTTTATTATAGGGATTGATCTCATCTACTTCCTTAGCCTCATATAGCTTCTCTAAAAGGATGTAATCTAAAATTTAATTTCCACAGTAAGCTATAAAAAGAAGTAAGTAATTTCTATTTACACCACTCAGGAGAGATTACTAGTACATAAAGTAAAATAAAACAGGAAAAGCATGTGTGTGTAATGCTACTGCTTATTCAAGAAAGATGGTAATATGGTTTGGATCTGTGTGCCTGCCCAAATCTCATGCTGAACTGTAATCCCCAATGTTGGAGGTGGGGCCTGCTGGGAGATGGGTGGATCACGGGAGTGATTTACCCCTTGGTGCTGTTCTCATGATAGTGATTGAGTTCTCGCGAGATCTAGTTAAGTGTGTGGTGCCTCCCCACTCTCTCTTTTTTGCTCCTGCTCCATCCATGTGGATGAGCCTGCTCTCTTCACCTTCTGCCATGATTGTAAGCTGAGCAGATGCATCATGCTTCCTGTACAGCCTGCGGAACCATGGGCCAATTAAACCTCTTTTCTTTATAAGTTACCCAGTCTCAGATATTTCTTTATAGCAAAGTGAGACTGAGGAGTGGGGCACTGCTATAAAGATACCTTAAAATGTAGAAGCAGCTTTGGAACTGCGTAATGGGCAGAATTTCAAACAGCTTGGAGGGCACAGAAAAAGGCAGGAAGGTGACAAAAATTTTGTCCTGGAGATTTGTTAAATTGTTGTGACCAAAATGCTGATAGTAATATGGACAATGAAGTCCAGGTTGAGGAGGTCACAGATGGAAATAAACTTATTGGGAAATGCAGCAAAGGTCACTTTTGTTACACCTTGGCAAAGAGCTCGGTTGGACTGTGCCCCTGCTCTAGGGATCTGTGGAACTCTGAATTTGAGAGATGATTTAGAGTATCTGGTGGATGAAATTTCTAAGCAGCAAAGTGTTCAAGATGTGACCTGGCTGCTTCTAACAACCTATGCTCATATGCATGAGCAAAGAAATGACCTGAAGTTGGAACTTATATATTTAAAAGGGAAGCAGAGTATAAAAGTTTGGAAAATTTGCAGCTTGGCCATGTGGTAGAAAAGAAAAGCCCATTTTCGGGGGAAGAATTCAAGCAGGCTGCAGAAACTGGGGGTACGGGGAAAGCCTTGAAGGCATTTCAGAGACATTCTGAACAGCCACTCTTGTCACAGGCCCAGAGGCCTAGAAGGACTGAATGGTTCTGCAGGCCAGGCCAGGCTCAAGGGCTCACTCCCCTGAGAAGCCTCAGGACACTGCTCCCTGTATCCTAGCCTCTCCAGTTCCAGCCATGGCTCAAAGAGGCCCAGATGTAGCTCAGGCCGCTGCTTCACAGGATGCAAGACATAAGCCTTGGCAGCTTCCACATGCTGTTAAGCCTACAGGTACACAGAATCCAAGAGGTAAGATTTGGGAACCTCTCTCTGCCTAGATTTCAGAAGATTTACGGAAAGGCCTGGATGTCCAAGCAGAAGCCTGCTGCAGGGGCAGAGCCTTCACAGAGAACCTCTACTCAGGCAGTGCAGAGGAGAAATGTGGGGCTGGAGCACCCACACAGAGTCCCCACTGGGGTCCTCCCAAGTGGAGCTGTGAGAAGAGTGCCACTGTCCTCCAGAACCCAGGAGGGCAGATCCACCAGCAGCTTGCACCTTCAGTCTGGAAAAGTCACAGATACTCAATGTCAACCCATGAGAGCAGCCTGCGAGAGCAGCTGTGGGGGCTGAACCCTGCAAAGCCACAGGTGTTAAGTACAGCTGCCCAAGGCTTTGGGAGCCCACCCCTTGTACCAGTGTGTCCTGGATGAGAGATGTGAAGTCAAAGGAGATTATTTTGGAGCCTTAAGATTTAATGACCACGCTGCTGGGTTTTGGACTTGCACAAAGCCTGCAGCCCCTTTCTTTTGGCTGATTTCTCCATTTTGGAATGGGAGTATTTACCCAATGCCTGTACCCACATTGTATCTTGCAAGTAACATGTTTTTGACTTTACAGGCTCATAGGGAGAAGAGACTTGTCTTGTCTTCTCATCTCAAATATGAGACTTAGGACTTTTTGAGTTAATGTTGAAATGGTTAAGACTCTGGGTGACTGTTGGGAGGCATGATTGTGTTTTGAAATGTGAGAAGGACATAAGATTTGGGAGGGGCTGGGGTAGAATGATATGGTTTGGATCTGTGTCCCTGACCAAATTTCATGTAGAATTGTAATCCCCAATGTTGGAGGTCGGACCTGATGGGAAGTGACTGGATCATGCGGGTGGATATCCCCCTTGGTGCTGTTCTCATGGTAGTGAGTTCACATGGAGATGTGTTCATTTAAAAGTGTGTGGCATGGCCGGGCGCGGTGGTTCACACCTGTAATACCAGCACTTTGGGAGGCTGAGGCAGGCCGATCACCTGAGGTCAGGAGTTCGAGACCAGCTTGGCTAACATGGTGAAACACCGTTTCTACTAAAAATACAAAAAATTAGCTGGGCATGGTGGCGCACACCTGTAATCCCAGCTACTTGGGAGGCAGAGGTAGCAGAATTGCATGAACCTGGGAGGTGGAGGTTGCAGTGAGCTGAGATTGGCCATTGCACTCCTGCTTGGACAATAAGACTGAAATTCCATCTGAGAAAGAAAAGAGAAAAGAAAAGAAAAGAAAAGAAAAGAAAAGAAAAGAGAAGAGAAGAGAAGAGAAGAGAAGAGAAGAGAAGAGAAGAGAAAAGGAAAGAAGAAAGAACGAACGAAAGGAAAGAAAGAAAGAGAGAGAGAGAAAGAAAGAAAGAAAGAGAAAGAAAGAAAGAAAGAGAGAGAGAGAGAGAGAGAGGGGCACCTCCCACCCTCTTTTGGCTCCTGCTTTGGCCACATGTAAGACAAGCATACTGCCCCTTCGCCTTCCACCATGATTGTAAGTTTCCTGAGGCTTCCCCAGAAGCTTAGCAGATGCCAGCATCATGCTTCCTGTACAGCCAGTGAAACCGCAAGCCAATTAAACCTCTTTATAAATTACCCAGTATCAGGTATTTCTTTATAGTAATGCAAAAGCAGACTAATACAGATGGGATGGAATGGGATAGCTTAGTTTTAAATTGTACGTTAACATAATATTTAAAAAGGAAGGATAATCCATAAAGGAGATTAAATAGTTACCTACGAGGTTGGGAAGAAATAAGGTAGATGGGTAGACAAGACAGGGATAGAAGTTTATAGATTTTCCTTTCAAATGACATGAATGTTTTATATGTAGTTATGCAATATTTTAAACATTTACATTCCTAAATGTCAAAAGCAAAATTTAATAAATGAACCTGCCTAATCAAGTGGGTGGCTTAACTGCACAGAGAAGATTTATTTATTTCAGGTAACTTTAAAACATGATTTGGCTGGCTGGGCACAGTGGCTAACACCTGTAATCCTAGCACTTCGGGAGGCCAAGGCAGGTGGAATGCCTGAGCTCAGGAGTTCGAGACCAGCCTGGGCAACATGGTGAAACCCTGTCTCTACTAAAATACAAAAAATTAGCCGGATGTGGCAGTGTGCGCCTGTAGTCCCAGCTACTCTGGAGGCTGATGCAGGATAATTGCTTGAACCCAGGAGGTGGAGGTTGCAGAGAGCCAAGATCATGCCACTGCATTCCAAGCCTGGGCAACAGAGTGAAACTCCTTCTCTTAAACAACAACAACAACAACAACAACAACAACAACAAAAACACATGATTTGATCGA